ATGTCCCTGCTCCCAAGCCTCCGCCACCCGTGGGGCTGGGCACCTGGTCAGGTTGCTCAGTCAGTTTTCCTGGCCCCTGGAGGCATCACCTGGGACAAGACTGGCCGTAACCACCCCAAGGGACCGCGGGGAGTGCACCCCACACCCAGGCTGCCCTCAATCCTTCTCCCCCCGTGTGTTTAGTCCTGTTCATTTCTCCTCCGGCAGTGGGTAGTGCAGCTAACTCAACGTTCGCCACCCAGATGGGGCATAAAACGATCCCTCGTTATTATTTTGCCTTGCACTTCCCCATCTACTGTCGAATTTTAGTGTCTTTTAACATGTTTCTTGGCCATTTGAATTTGTTCTTCTGTGACATCTTTCTATTAGATTGTAGTGTTTAACAATTTAAGAGCTCTTTGTGTATTAAATCCTTTGTATACTGACCATTTTCCCCCAGATCTATCATTTTTCTTTATTTATAGTCCTTTTTGTCACTTGAAGTTTAAAAAAATTTTTTTACTGTGTTTTCAAATATGTCTACCTTTTCTTTGACAGCTTCCGGGTTTGTTTCTAGGATTATTTAGGTATGTTTCTGTCTCACCTCTCCTTTGCGCCTTCACCTGCTTGCATTCAGTTGTTCAGATCCAAACTCCCCGAGCGTCCTGGTATGTGTGCGTCACGGCAATTACCGCGATTGCAGTGACGCCTGCTGGGAGCAGCGTTCCGGCGCCTGGCGTCTCCATGCTTCAGAGCACCGTCCCCATTCCAGAAATGTATCAGCAGCCCTGAGCACCACCCTCGGAATGGTTGATTTATTACTGGTTTTCGATGAAAGATGCTGATTTACAAGCTTGGTTCACTTCCCTTTATCCTGGCAACTTTGAGTTCTGCCTTAAGTTCTACCCATAACGTAACAGCCGTGAAATCGTGTGTTTCTGAATTCAGATGAGACCTTCTGAGAGCTTACGACAGCAACCCTGGTCTGCGGTGAGGGTCCTTATGCCGCGGCCAGGAGGAAGCCTGGGGGCACCTGGCAGAGAGTCGGTGCAGGCCGGCGGTGAGGGTGACAGGGACTTGCCCTCGCCAGGTGCTGAGCCGATGCTTTCACCTCTTGGGGACCCTGAAGGCAGGTGTGGCCTTATCTCCTCTCCAACGGAGCCAGGATGTTGAGGGAGGGGAGCAGCTCGTCCAAGGCTGCAAAGGTGGCGAAACGCAGAAGCCGAGGCTGACCCCACAGTGATCTGACCACGTGCTGTCGCCTCGGGTACCGGGGAAGGGGCCCGGAGCCGCCCTGTGCGGCCAGCACAGTGGCTCTTCATTTCCACCCCTCGCTGCTGGGGAACGTCCCCGCGCGGGTGAGCTCTGAGAAGCTGGGTCCCCAGCGGGTCATCATGCAGAGATGCCACGACTCTCCCTCCACGCGGGTCCCTCGTGCTTCCCCGGCTGGGCTCTCCATGGAGACAGCAGGTGCAGGGGAAACCCAGCTCCTGCCAGTCCCAGGAGCAAGAGGAACCCCGGTCTGGTGGGTGCCCCGAGACCTGTCTGGCTGGTTTCTCACGAGCACGGAAAAGCCACACGGTGGAAGCGCCAGGGTGCACGTGTGTTCCTGGGGTCAAGCTCACGTGAAAGCTGCAGTGGCTGTAGCCAGTCGTGCTACACACATGAACGGGAGGACACCCCACACTCCTGCTCCTGACACACACACACACACACACACACACACACACACACACAGGCACGCACACACAGCTACTGCACAAGGCAGTCCCACGACTCCAACTGTCCCCTCCTGCCCTCAGGGACTCACGCAGCCCTCGCTGGACAGGTTTTCGTCCTTCCTCTGGCATCTGCAGAGGCCTTCACGCCCCCTCAACGAAGGGCACCCTTCTCCTCCGGGGCCGCCGTCATCCTCCCGAGGAAGAGGCGGCGTTTCCGTGGGGGGCTCGGCTGAGGGGGCGGGAGAGGGGCTGAGTCGGGGAGCAGAGGCCACCTCCAACACGCAAGCACAAGGGCTCAGTCTTCCCAAACCCCGCTCTCTCCCCTCCTCCCTGCTGACCACAGCCTCTCCATCCTTGCCTGGCTCCGGCTGCCCCCTCTCAGCCAGCCGGAGCCCTCCGCTCTCTCCTGCCCCCACACCGCTGAGGGCAGCCACGCAGCCCTGCACCGGGGGCCTTGTCCCTCCTGTCGCGGAGCCACCTGCATTTGCTTCTCACGTGTCCCCAGGGGCTCGGGCTCCGCGCGGGATGCAGGCTGGACCCCGGCCCTGTCCCCGCCTCACGCAGGCAGCATCACAGGCAGGAAGGAGGCATGTTGACGTCTGTGCCACCCGCACTGCAGGGCCGCGCCGGGCTCTGCACCCGCTGCTGCGGCGGTGCCAGCAGAGGACCACGGGCTTGCTCAAGCCCACCGGGGGTGACAGCGAGTGCTGTGCTATCCTCTTAAGTGACGTCTAGTTGGACCGTGTGGGGCTGTCTGTGGTGAGGGTCACTCGTGACGAGAGCAACCCTCCGCCCGGGGCTGGGCCTGAGCGGCTCACGGCGCCTCGCAAGGGGCAGGCTGGGGAAGGGTCACGTTCGCGCGCTCTGGAGGGAGCCTCGGAGGAGGCGGGACTCTGGGTGGAGAAGGGCTCATTCAGAAGTCACAGGACCTCACCTCCCGGAGGCTTAATCTCTTCGTCTGGGAAATGGGCATCACATGGGCATGGCCGCCTTCCGTCCCGTGACGCTGTTCTAGACAGAGGCCTCCGCTCTGCGTGGAAGGGCGGCCGCGGGCGCTGACGTCCGAGAGCCGCTGACGTTCGGAGCCTCGGCTGGGGGGACTGACGTACAACCTCGGGGCCGACAAACCTGACTTTTCAGTTCAATCTAGAAAGGAATCATCACGAGATCGCGTGTGAGCAGATATTCTCCCGAGTGCTGGTTTACATCAAACGCCAACCGGCTCGTTACTGAACATAAAGTTCATCATGGAATAACAACACCTTCTGCTGGTTCTGTGCTTTACGTTTTGACCCTACGTGCTCCGGCCAGACGTGGTGGGCTTGTTATCCTACTTTATAGACGAAGATGTTGAGACATAAGTTCAGTTTCCACGTCAGCGTCGGAACTGGAACCACCAGCTCGAGTCTCCTGCTGTTGTTTGCAAAGTGTTATTTAATAACCAGGGAAAATAATAAGAAAATAACGAACGAGTGTTTGGATTTTAATCACAGGTCCTGCTAATGGGATGAGACAAAAAGGAAATTTCAAATATAGATTTAAATATTCAAATATTCTTTACAGCAATAAACAAAGGAGCTGGGCTGAATCTAGTTATTAAAAGCCTCACCCTTCCGGGGCTCTTACCCAGCAAGATGCTTTTCTGCTCTGGTCTCCGGGCTGGACTGACCTTCTCCACCCAGAACTGGTTGTCGGTGTCATTGGGAAACCGATTGCTCAATGTTTATTGAGGCCTCGGTACTATTCCAGCTCAGAGGTGAGATAGCAGCCCCTCTCCGGGACACCTCTGTGGCACGAGCTAGACAACTGGCACACCCCCACCCCGTGTCTCTCCCCGCGTCTGGTTCCCCAGTCCAGGGTGGGCTGCGGCGCCAGCCGTGGGAGGGCTTTGTGTGGCTGCACTTTGGGAAGGAGACCGCGCTTGGCCTGTCAGATGGGCTGAGCTGGAGGGCGGCGGAATTTACAAACCGCCTCAGCAGGAGAGTGAAGGTGTTTGTTCCTCATGTTCGGGTAGGGGTTGGGGGAGCCAATCGGAATCTCCAGGGATCAGAAGGGACTTGCTCAAGAAAGTCATCGTGGGGACTCCAAGGCAAAGGCACCCTCACCAGTGTGGGCCCCAACACTGGAAGGACCCAGGCATGGTACCCCGAGGGCTGGGCTCTCTGTCTGCACCCTGCTTGCTGTCCAAGGCAGTGGTCCGGGTGGGTTTCCTTCCGGAGGACAGATCAGACCGAGGCCCCTGGGAGGTTCCCAGATGTGCTTCTGCGCTCAGGGCTGAGGCTGAGCAACCCCCCAGCTGGGCCAAGTGCTGCGTCCTCCTGCCCCTCGGCACTTTCGGGGCTAGCCTGCGCCAGGCACCAAGGCCACCCCAATCTCTCCACAGCAAGCCCCCAACCGTAGTGGTTTGATCCCCGTGAATGGAACACGTGCTGCTTACCTGCTGGGAGTCTGCCCAGAGAAGCCTGGGCTGGGCAACGGAACGGAGTGGCGGGAACCCCCGAGTGGCAGGGGGAGCCTTCTGGGGGACACAAAGCCTTTCCCTCCCCCATGAAATCGCACCTCCCACACTCACTTAATAAACGAAGTCTCCGCACCAGCTGTGGTTCTGAATGCACCTCCCCAGCCTGCCCGTCCCAGCTCCTTGCTTTCTGGAAGCTGAGGGGGGCCAGGCTGGCCCCGTCCTCCATCTCTAGATCCTTGACGGGAATTTGTTGGAGCCTAAGGCTACACCCTGGCAGAATCTATGGTGCCACCCACCCCCTTCCACCACCCCCAGCAGCAGGGAGGGAGAACAGAAGCAGCGAGCACAGCCCCCTCCTCCTGGGCCCGCTGAGCACACAGGGAGGCCTCCTCCACCCCCCAGCCCCAGTCTCTGTGAAGTCAGGGAAGCTGTCGCCTGGGCAGGATGTCCTGGAGTGGGTGGTCTGCGGGGGACACTCTCTGTCCCTGGACGGGACGGCCTGGAGTGGTCCTGGGTGGTCTGCAGGGGACACTGTCCCTGGGTGGAATGGCCTGGCGTGGGCGGCTGCTGTCAGGGCCAGGAGGGGCTGGCCGGTTGCAAGCCCATCGCCCTGCCATGCTGCTCCCTGCAGACTCCCCGGGGGCCTTCCCCCTCCAATTCCTGCATTTCTTGTCTGCAGCTGGTCTGTCCCTCCCTGGGAGGAGGCTGTTGCCCGAGGACATGGGGAGGGTGGGGAGCCTTCCTCCTCCCACTGCTCCCGTGCAGAAAAGGAGAGGTTCCCCTGCCTGCAGCTGTGCCCGCCGCAGACGCCCTGGGAGCAGCAGGTGGACGGACGCAGCATGGCGGAGTCGCTGTCTGAGGAGGAGGTGGCCCAGTTCAAGGAGGTTTTCAAGCGGGTCGACAAGGACAGGGACGGCAAAATCGACGCCAAGGAGCTGGGCGAGGCGATACAGGCCATGGGCAAAAAGCTGTCGGAGGAGGAGGTGAAGAAGATCATCGAGAAATTAGACAGCAACCACGACGGCACCATCAGCTTCCCCGAGTTCCTGGCAGAGCTAGGCAAGAAGGTGCAGGGCTCGGGCAGCGAGCAGGACCTGCGGGCCACTTTCCGCGCCTTCGACCTGGATGGGGACGGCCACATCAGCGTGGACGAGCTCCGGCAGGCCATAGCCCAGCTGGGGGTGCAGCTGTCGCAGGAGGAGCTGGACGCCTTGGTCAGGGAGGCCGACACGAACCAGGACGGGCAGGTGGACTTCGAGGAGTTCGCACGCGTCCTCGGCCAGAAGTGAGGCGCCCTCCGCGGGACGTCCGCGACGTCGAGGCCGCGCACGCCTGGGCAGGGCGGCCTCGGCCTGTCTCCCTCTCCATGACACTGTCCGAATAAAAGGACTGCGCACTCCACCTGTGTCGTGTTCCCTGCAGGGGGGCCCCAGGGCCCCGTGGAGCATCCAGGGTTCCTCTCCCAGCCTGATGGGGCACGGCACCCCGGCCTCCCTGACCCCAGGAGAGGGGCCCTGGGCGCCGCCGGGCAGGCGGGGGGATGCGGCTCTGAACCCGGCTCTGGCTGGCTGCGGGCGAGGACCCTGGACAGACGGGAGCACGTCCCCCCTGCATGCAGCCTGCTGCTCTTCTACCCCCAACACAGCAGCGTGTCTGTGTGTCTGTCCTGTGTCTGTCTATGTAGCTCTGTGTGTCTGTGTGTCTGCGTGTCTATGCCTGCGTGTGCCTGTGTGTCTGTGCACATCTGTGCTGTATCTGAGGTGCAGCTCTTGGGGACACACCCTCTCTGTGGCATGGCAGCCAGACTGGGAAGTGGCCCAGGCCCAGGGCGGCGAAGGGCCCGGGGGTGGGCGCTGGAGGTGGGGCCCTTGCAAAGCTGGCGGGAGAGCGGAGTGGGCGTTTCCTCTGCTGCCCCAGGACCTGCACCTGTGGCTGTTGCTGCCCAGACCTCGCTGGCCGTGGCTCTGACGGGCTCTCAGGGCTGCGAGAAAGGGGTGCAGGGAGCTGGGGAGTGGCAGGAGGATGGAGAAGGGGCTGAGGGTGGCAGCGCCCCCACTCCCGCCCTGACGCAGGCAGAGCGCTCCTTGAGCCTGGGTCGCTGGAAACCAGAGCGAAGCTAGGCCCCAGCTCCGTGTCCCCAGGGCTCCCTCTGTCCTGGATCTACCTCTGCACGTTGCAGATGGGGAAACTGAGGCCTGGCGTGGTTATGGGGCAAACCCCCCTGATGTCAGGTTGAATTGGGACAGCATGGGAAGGTGGGGGCACCTGCACTGGGCGTTGGGACCCTGGTGATGTCCCAGCCTGGGTGGCGGCTGGCAGCGTGCCTGGGGGCCGCCTCCGGGAGGGAAACGGGGTTTTGTTTTGTTTTTGTGCGACTGAGATTTCAGCTCAAACTATCAGTGATGACCGACCTCGTCTGTTCTCACCTCAGGGTGGGAGGGAAGCGGAGCCCTTGCACCTGGGTGGTATCAAAGCGCCCCCTGAGCCTTTCCTGCCGCCTGGTGCTCCGGCACACCTGTGCTGGCACACCTGCCGTGGCGCACACCTGCCGTGGCACGCACCTGCCGTGGCACGCACCTGCCGTGGCGAGTGTGGGGCCTGGCCACTTTATCCTGACTCGAGCACAGAGCCTGGAGAGCCCGGGCCGCCCGGGCAGGGCTGCCGCACCTGTGAAGTTTTTCTTCTATCCGCTGGTGGACATTTTCAGGGACACTCCAGTCTCTGAGGTCCTCACTCACGGCTACCTTGTTCCTCTCACCCTGTCCTCAGGGGCCCGAGGCTGGAGCTGGGGCTGCGGAGGAGGGGGAGGGGGAGGGGGGACAGAGAGAGAGAGAGGTGGGGGCTCCCCAGCCCCCGCTCAGGGCTCTGGAGGGAGGAGAGTGATGAGGAGGCGGGAGGGGCGGGACAGAGGCAGCCTCGCCCTGACCCGGGGGTGGCGGCAAAAGTACTGTCCCGTCTCCAGCCGGGGGTTCCCTCCAGAAAGCCCCTGTCCTCAGGGACACGGGTCACAGAGGTCTGAGTTTCTAAGTCGTGATTCTTCAACGCGGAGCTGCTCCAAGAGGAAGTTTTCCAGGGTCTGTGAAAATACAAAAACAAAAGAGAAATAAAGGCTTTGTGTTCAATTTCCAAGCCGCGGGACGACGCCCTCCCACTATTTTCAGTGCTGAACGTCCTTTCTCGCAGGAACCTGCTGTGATCACGGATGATTTCTGTCTTTTTGGGTTTTTCCCCCCTTCACATTCTTAGTCTGCAGAATAGAGTCCCACATGTGCCCCCAAAATTTCTTTTGAAATGTTCCTGATCCTTCCGCCAGGTTCAAATGTCTGAGAACTGCTTAAATCTACGAAATCAATTTTTTTCTTTTTAAAAAATACATGACTTTGAAGAAATATGCAGATTCCTACGTGGGAACATTAACCCCCAAATTCAGGACTGATGTCTCCTCTTGCAGCGGGAGGGAGCGGGTTGGGAGGCACAGAGGGGCTGCCACGGTGGCTGTTGTATTTCTTCAGCGGGGGACACTCACGGTTTCATTCTGTGTGTCTAAAATATTTTGTACTAAAGAAAAGACATGCACATCGTAGGAGGCTAGAAGTTACAGAGGGGCCGTGGGAGAACGTGGCCCTCCGCACGGGGCCTCCGGAGCAGCAGGTCAGCGCTCCGGCCGCTGTCCCTCAGCCCGTAGGGCGTAAGACGACTGATGCAGGGGGAAGGGCCTGGGCTCCCCGCTGACCCAGCGAGATGCCCGACCGCCCCGTTTCTACAAGTGAGGGCTGGGACAGAACCTAGAAGGGCAGAAGGAAAACAAAAATGATGGCATTTCTACGGCAGCGTTAACTGGAGACAGGGCCAACATGCATGTTGGGACCTGTCCTGCTGGTTAGATCTCGGCTCTCACTGCCATGTGGCCCGAGGCCCAATCTTTGGAAGAAAACACACTGGGACAAGTCCCGGGGTCCCCAAAACACCTGCTGTCCTGTGTGCGAGGCCATCTTCCATCCCATAAACTCTACCCAGTAACTTAGAAAAGAAGCGGCCCAACGTGTAAGGGGGCGGGGGAGGGAAAGCGTTTGGGGTGACCTGCTTTGGGGGAGCAGCCGGGAGACCAGGACGCCTGGGGAGGAGCGAGGCAGCCCCAGCGCGGGTGAGAGCTCGGGCGGAGCAGCCATCCCGCTGTGCCTGGGACTCTGGGGTCCTGGGACGGCGGTGGGCCCGTGGGATGCGTGCTCACCCAGCCCCGCCCAGCCGGGGACGAGGGCACGGCGTCAGGGCGCTGAAAGCCCGGCCAGAGACCGACATGGGGTAGAGAGAAGTGGGGAGTCGGGCCCCCGACTGGACCTCGACTCATCAGCTCTCCTCTCAGGGGACCCTTCACTGGGGGGCAGAGGGAGGGGCGGGGGAGAGGGGCCGGGGAGAATCTGCCCTCAGTCCTGCATCCCCCCGGTCCCTGGGGCCTCCTCAGGGAAGGTGCCCTCTGACCCCGAGCGCTGTGCACGTTCCTCACTGACCCTGTTTACGTCAGTCACCCCAGGTGACCAGCGGTTTCTCCATGTTTCTTCCCCCCGACCCAGACCCGAGCCCCTCAGGCCCGCCCTGCGTTTCCCCGATCGCCGCGCCCCAGGCCGGGCAGGACGTGCACAGAGCTTGCTGGGGGGGAGTCTCCCCACCCCTGGCTGCCCGCCTCCTGCCACGACCAGGAACCTGCAGGTGCGGGAAGGCCTGGCTCTCAGGCGGGGCTGGCTCCTGCCATCCCTGGAACCTGCCGGAACATGCTGGGCCTCCTAGGAGCACCTGTAGCTGCTCATTTCCCGTGGCCATTCCTGCTTTGCTTTTTCAGCACCCACCGCGCCGCGCTCTCCCCCTGGGGTGTCTGCGCCCAGCCCTCCCTGCCCTCCTGGCAGCTCCCCAGCTCCCCAGCTAGCCGGTCCTGCCAGCCAGCCGACCACCACCTCTCCCTGCCCTGGGCCGTGCGTAGTGAGTCAGGCTCCCTCACGGCCACTCCACCCACTCCACGCCACTGAGAGCCGCTGGCTTGCCCCAAGGCTCCGTCGACTCCCAGTGCCTTCGTTCTGTCTCCCCCGTGGGACTGGGAGGTTCTCGGACTGAGTCGTGGTCCTGGACTTCCCGGCCGAGCCTGCAGGTGACCACCCAGCTCTGGTCTTGCTTGGAGGGAGGCTGTGGTGGGGGTGGGGGCAGCAAAGGGGAGAGGTGGCCCCTTGAGCCTCCTGCACCTGCAGGCCTCGCCAGCCCCAGGCCAAGCCCAGGCCCTCCTGCTGGGCCACCCTCTCCTAGTGCCTAGTCTGGTATTTAAGCAGTGCCCAGTGCCCCGGGGCAGCCAACACACAGACTGGGGCATGTGGGAGTGAGGTGTCAGGGGCCCCAGTGGTCAGGCCAGGCCTTAAGGCCCTGTGAGTGGGGAGCCAGCACTCCTGGGTTCCAGGCCTGAGGTCTGCGGTGTGCTCTGCTGAGCGGCTTCAGGTCAGCCGCCTCCCCATCCAGGCTCAGCCACGCCCATGTAAGGCGCAGAGATGGAGTTCCCGGGAAGGAAAACATCTCACGATCGTCAGCAGGAAGGGACTTAGCCATCATGGGTCCAATGTGCTCTCATTTTATAGCCTAGACTAAGGCCCAGAGAGGGTGAGATGTGTGCAAAGTTGCACAGCATTTAGCGTCTGTCAAGGCTTCTCCCAGCTCTTCCCGGCATGCTGCGTGAGCTGACCTACCCTTCTCAGTGTGGTGCTCAGGACAGAGCCTGGGGGCAGCAGGGACCCCCAGGCTTGGGAGGCGGAGGAGAAGGAAGCTGGGGTTATGGGGCCCCCAGCCCCGACTTACTGGCAAGGTCCCTCTTAAGCAACTCAGCCGATTCCCAAAGCTCCCAGAGAGAGCTGCACGCCGTTTCCTCCTCTCTTTCGACAGAGAGATACTGTCCTGGTTCTTTGGCTCCTTGCTGGGGAGAACCGCAAGCAGGGCTGGTGCCGCGGGGCAAACACAGACAGGAAGCGCTTCCACCCGAGCAGCTTCCATCGTAGAAGAGAAGGAAGAAGGAAGCTGCCCAGAGTGAAAATACGTTCCAGGGAGAGGAACAGGCCAGTCTCCCCGGTGGAGAAAGACGCTAAGAACGCCCAGGTGGTTTCCTTTTATCGGCCTGGTCCGGGGCGGGCTTCCGCGAGTGCGGGATGTTACCAGGTGATCGATACACGTGATCGTCTGGTGTTCAGCGTTTTCCTGCAGCCCCTTCCCTTGACCGGTCCCGGCGTCTCTGCCCCTAGGAGGACCCTCCTGGCCTGTA